TGCAAATGCACAAGCGGGGTACGGGGCCGTGCGCCGCGGGGGGCTGAGCTGTGTCTTGGGACACAAGCGGAAAGAAAATGAACTGGTTTACCTCGGGGAGGAAAAAGCGGAAAATAAGAATGAAAATAAATCTTCAGGGACTGGATGAGCCGCTTTGTACAATTTAAAGCACGTTTTACTCAGCTGTTTGGAACACGGGTATTTCTTAAAAATACAGCCTTGCTCCTGAAGTGTAATAAGGGATTTAAAACTCAGACGTTTAATTTCCAGTACATGGAAAGATTCCAAATGCTTTTATCTTGCACATTCCTTAGTACAAGTTCCAAACAGTTCTGCCTGACCCAAGTCTTTTTCCTTCAGCCAGCAAATAAAACGGGGTTGTCTGCTTACGTTCTAAGGGCTCTTGCCCCTGCGCTGCATTACTCACCACGGTGTCTTTAACGCTCTCAGCTGTGGCAGACTTGGAGCTTGATCTGTTCTGTCCAGCAAGCAGCATTAATCTGAGCTGATCCCTGAAGCCAGTGTTGGTTCAGATCCCTCTGCTCGCTGGGCTGAGTTGGTTGGGCTGGTGGTGTCATGGGCCAGGTTGTCAGTGATATGTGTGCTTGATGTTTACATGGGGCAGAAAGTAAAAATTCTGTGCACAGAGAGGTCAGAAGTACATTAGTAGGGGCATCTTCTGGAGGTGGTTGCCAAATAACATGAGACTGAAAAGGCCTTTTATCTCTTCAGTTTTTAGTACAGCATAAGTGCAAAAGGGGCAATGTCATGTGCTGGCACCAGCCTTTCTTTGGATAGGGGAGCAGATCCCACTAAAGAATTATGTGATTTTGTTGGATTTGTTTGCAGTTCCTTGGTGTGGCTCATCTCATGCATGGCATTTCTGTCTTCTGAGGTAGAAACAAAGGGGCAGGGGGAGGGCAGAGTTTCTCATTTCAGCAGCATGACCAGCTTACACCAGCCTAAATGTCCTGCAGATGTGTTTGGTGTTAAGAGAGGGCAAAGCATGGGCTGGGTGTGATTTCCTTCCCTAACTTCCCAGCTCCAAAGTATGCATCTTCTACTGGTGATACCCACAGTGACTGCCAAGCCATCTGGTGAGAGACGTGCTGGTGGCTCTGCTGGGCTAACATCCTGCCTGCCAGGGTGCCCCAAAGAGCATCGTCCGTGGCCTCGTCCTTAGTGCCCAAGCATGATGGTGCCTTGGTGTGCCCTCTACTGAAGCTGAGTAGGAGGGAAAATGCTTTGAAATGTGCTTGGCTAAATCATTTGACATTGCTCACGAGTTGTTGATCAGTGGAACATGCTTGTAAGAGTTGAGCTGTGTTCCTCCAGCACTGCCTGCCAGCTAACTCCCTGTTGCAGCAATTAACTTCAAGGGCAGAGGGGCCCGTTGTGCTCTAACTAACTAGCCTGAGTAGCTGAGCCTGGGACCTCTGGGGTCAGAGAGTAGTTTGAAGATCATGTCATCCTTATTAAGGCCAGCACAGCTCAGGTGAGCCAGTTAAGCTTAGGAGTAGGTTGGTTTGCTGCAGAGTGGTAGTGGGTTGATAAACTTGTGATGGTAATTTCTGGGTCACAGTAGGACTGTGAGGGGAGAGTTGTTCCCTAAATGTTGGTACAGCTTTTTCAGTTGGCTGCTGCTGCTGGGTGTGTAGCACCCTGCAAAAGAGCAGGTATTGCTGGTTGGGAGTGATGGGAGAAACTTGTGCCATTGAGATGTTTTCAGTCTGCTTGCATTGAGTAGCTGGTTGATGCTGAGCAAGTGGTGTGTGTAATTGCCCCATTGTTGCATCTGATCTGTTCTTAATCCCTAGTGATGCGAGGGAGTTGTCATCCTTTCCCCAGGAAGCTCCACGTGATGGCTCTAATCATTTTGGTATTAGTCTCAGTGATCACACGTGCAGGGTGTTCAGTAGCTTCTTACAGTACTGGTGAGGTTGTCCTTACTGGAACAACTGCAAACTGCATGGGTGCAGGGCAGCATCTCTTCTAGGAGGGAGATTCCTCATGAAAACCCAGCTTGTCTGTAAGGGGGACAATTTCAGAACCTCAGGGGTGTCTTGGTTGCATGCCCCCTTCTGACCTTTGGCCTGAGCTCTGGTAAGGGTGTGGGCTCCTGGTTTGAAAGAGCAGTAGCAATCCTTATGTGCCCTGTGATCCTAGAGATATTTGTAGGTCTTAATGAATTAAGCCTCTCACCAACTTTGAGGGCTCTGTCCTGCCATCTGTGCTAAATAGCAGAGAATGATTTCTGTGAGACACGGTGGAGTTGGGCAAGGTGAGTTTCACACAGGTGTCCAGTGAGCTGAGACTAGAGCTCTTCCAGCCACAGGATGACAATGTCCAGCTCTGCCACAAGGTCTTGCACTGCAGTGGCTCTGCTATATCTGGAGCTGCCACTGCTTGGAAATAACTGATCCAGGGTCAAGACCTTTCATCTGCCTGGTCTCTGAATTTCACTTGCTTTATGAGTTCATGGTCTGTAGTGCTGCGTTTGTGTTTCCTCTTGGCTGCTCTGGCCTCCTGCTACAAACCCTCGCCAGCTCCTCACCTGTGGTGCTGGGATGTGCACTGAAGCTGGAGGGCTGCAGCCTCAACCACAGCAACGTTGCTTTTCCCTTCACTCGTGGTGTCGTGCAGCTGCCTCCCCTTCAGCTTTGTGCTGTCTGGCTGCCCAGGACTGGTGCTTCTACAGCCAGGGCAGGAATCTGGGGGAAATAATGGGGTTTGTTTGGAGGGAGGGGGAGCCAGCGGGTGGCTATCCACCACCCAGCCTGGCTGTCACTGGAGAGGAGAGCAGTGTGCTGCCCTGCAGCAGGGAAGGCTGCTGACTGCTTCTCCCTCGTGGCCTGGAATCTGGAAGTGCTTGGGTCTCCTGGCTTCCTGGGCCTGACAAGGTGACTCTACAGGCAGCTGATGGGATACATGTCAGCTGTTGGGAGATCCCTGGTTCTCTTGCCCTGAGCGTGTCTGAGGGGCTGACACCATCATCTTCCTGAGGGGATGGAAAGTGCCTCACCTGGGGGTCCAACGCCAGCCCCTGTGGTGAGGGTTGCTGCCATGGGTTACAGCCGTGGCCCTCCACACTGGTGCTATGCCCTATGAGATGCTGGCCTGCCTCACAGCTGGGACCAAAAAAATGACCCAAATGAAGAGCTTAGGTGGGGAAATTGTGACTAAGTTGTTCTAGTGAGTCTGGCTACTAACTCCTGCTTGTGAGGGGAGAAGACTCATGGGTGTGGTGCTGGGGCTGGTGGCAGCCAGCTGGAGGCCTGCCCATCTGCCTGCTTGCCACCACAAATATGTTTCTGTGTGCCAGGAATGTAGGACTCTCTCTTTTTTTTTTAACTATTTGACTGTAGTAACTAGGTACATGTGGTAAATGTTGGGTTTTGATTGTTTTGGGATTATCGGTGCTTGCTCTCTGGAAGCAAACCTACAATCCCTCCATTTTTAGTGGAGGGGGAAGTCTTGTGTGGCAGTGATGGCCCCGTGCTGCCTGCACTGGTTTATCTAAACTTGCTGACTTTAAGTGTATTTAGAACAGTGATATCTTTATGATCTTCAAACCACTGTGACAACATTATGGGCCTGCAGACACCATATGCTTTTCTTTGCATCTTGTGTCATGACTGCCCAAGTTGCTGGTTCCTGAATTTGGGTCTCCATTAATTTTTGAGTAAACCTTTTCCTTCACTATGCTTGTGAGAATTGTACTAACTTCTTTGTAGCCATGCTGCCCACTTTGACATCTGCTGACCACATATTTTGCAGTCTCACCCCTAAAATAAAGGGGACCTGGGATAAGGCTGTGTCCCTTTCCTGCATGGTTACAGGCTTAGGAGCCACATAGCTGTGAGGATTAAGTATGGATTGAGGGCCCAGCTTCTTAAAGTGCTTAGGCACGAGCAGATGTCTTGTAAGGTTTTGGAAAAATCTCATTATGTTGCTAGTCTATATCTTTAAGTGTTTTAATATCATTAAATATTATATTATACCTGGGATAAGGCTGTGTCCCTTTCCTGCATGGTTACAGGCTTAGGAGCCACATAGCTGTGAGGATTAAGTATGGATTGAGGGCCCAGCTTCTTAAAGTGCTTAGGCACGAGCAGATGTCTTGTAAGGTTTTGGAAAAATCTCATTATGTTGCTAGTCTATATCTTTAAGTGTTTTAATATCATTAAATATTATATTATTAAATATAATAATGATGTTAAGTGTCTTAATATAATTAAACATGTCCCAGGTTGTCTTCTACCATGCACACCCCGCTCAGCAAGTGTGTAGCTGACGTGCTGCAGATGGAAAGTTATGCAGCCCAGGATCTTTGTCTCCTTTTATCTTTCTCTCATTGTAAAAGAAACCCCAAAATTACCCTTGAAATGGCTTCTCGGGGGAGGGAGGCCTCTCTGTGCCAGCCTGGGGTGGTTCTGGCTCTGGTGCTGGGGCAGCCCCCACTGGCTCTGTGGTGACTGCCCGGTGCTTGGGTGCCCGTGGGGTTTAAGCCATCTGTGCTGCTGCATTGCACTGAGCCCCTGCTGCTGCCCGAGTAAATCACTCACCTGCTCTGCAGGGAGTGCTGTCTAACCTCTTTCTCCTCTGTTTTGTGTCCAGCCCTCAGTGCCGCCTGTGCCAAACTACAAGATCTCCATGTCAGTCCCAGAATGGCTCCAGGCAATACAGAACTACATGAAGATGCTGCAGTATCCTTCTCCATGCAGTCACCAGGGGGAACGCTGGCGTGTGCTGGGCAGGAGCTAACAGGGCTTTCCTCAAGCACTAGCTAGTCACTAGGGCTTGAAACCATTCGGGGTGAAAGGATACCTCTGAGAATTTATGATAGCACCTGCAGCACTGAGCTTGTCACAGCAATCCTCTGGGAGGTGTAATCAACTTTTAAGGATACTGAAGAATTTAACTGATGTTGCTGGGAGTAGAAATGTTTATTTTGAAGTTGTTTTATGAAGATGCTATGATGGGATTGTGGTGCCTGGAGAAATAATATGGCATCTTGTCATAAAGCAACTGAGGGAGAGCTGATGCTGTGGCAAACCCTTTCTCCCTCTGCCCTGGCAGCCCCTGAGGACTGCCTACATGCTCAACGTGCAGGGAGTGCTTGTAATTGGGGTGGGGGACACAAGCAGCTGTCCTGACCTTGAGGTGGGTGGGCTTGCCTATGGTACAGGAACTGAGCAAAGGCATCCCTCCTTCCAGATGTCCTGCCTAGCCTGAGGGGTTCATCAGGTGTATACATCTATCCAGCCTTCCTGTCCCTGCCCCTTGCCTAATAACTGTTTCCATTGCTGGTGGATAGTGTCAGACGAGATGGTTGCTGGCTCACATGCTGCTCTGCTCTCTGTTTACTTTCCTTCTGAACTCTTCCTTTCTGTGGCGTGTGTACGAGGGGAAGCAGTGGGGTTGAAGAATGGAAATAAAGTCCTGGGAAGGATTAAGAAGGGATGTGGGTGGCAGCTGGAAGAGCACCCAGAAATAGCAGGCGTGGTTAGCCTCCGGGGAGTTGTGGCTGGGATCAAAGCGGCCGCAGGGGTTGGAGCCCCAGCAGCTGCTGTGGAAGGAGGCTGGGGCCAGCCTGAATTGCAGGGGAATGGTGTTTCTGTCCTGCATGTCAGCCACTTGAGCAGGATGAGAGGCTGGCTGCTCAGCAAGGTTGTGCCAGAGAGGAGACTGTGTCACACAGAGCTCCAAGAATTATACGCCCCACTCCCCCACCCAGTGTTTTTGAGGTCTTGAACTCTGCTACATAGCAGGAGCAGGCCTTAGGCATGGGGTTAGGTGTATTCAGAAAAGCTTCAAAGTGGGCTGGGGGTCTGGGCTTCCTTTGAGGGGTAGAAGAGGCTGCATGCTTTGTTCAGGGCCCTCTGGAAGGGCCTCATGAATTAGGTTTTGAAGGCAGGAGGGAAGCAAAGTTGTGTTTCCAGAGAACTCTGAACTTCATGGAAGTCAGTTCAGAGCATCCTGGTGTGAGCTGGAGTTTTTATTTAGGCTGTGGTTATAAAGCTAGTAGCTGTGATTTTATGTGTCACAAGGTGCCCTTTGCCTCCATGGGGTCACTTGTTTCTGCTCTGGTATTGCCACCACAGTTTTGCTGGCTTGAATGTTCTTATGGCCACATTGGGAACTAGGCCGGGGGACAGATTCAAGTGGAAAAATAACCTATCAAAAGTAAATGCATGGCATGATTACTTTTTAAATTTTTTTTGTTGTTGGAGTGTTTTTTGTTTGAGTTTTTTGTTTAATTGGTTTAGGTGGTGGACAGATTGGTTTCCTGGTCTGATTTACTACATTAGTGCTTGAACAGCTCTGCTCAAGGAGCAGAGAAGAGGCTGCTTTTGGGGATGCTGCTACTGCGTGGTGGTTTGTCTTGAGATCTGTTTGATGGGTGACTGCTGGCATTGTTTGTGATGAACTTTTTCCCTGTGCTCATAGTGTTAACTAATGTTGTTGAGTTGCACTCAGCTGGTTATTTCCACTTCAGTTGTATTGTATTTTGAGAATTATTTCTATTTCCTAGGTCTTAATGCACCTGGTGTGGTTTTGGTTTACTGGTCACATGTGAGCTATGTGGCTGACAGAGTTAAAAACCTTATAAGGGAAATGAGACCATGAATGATGTTGGTTGGTTTGGGTAGACTATAAAAACTCTTTTTCTTGCCCAAATGGGAGACTTCTCAAACTTGTAACCTAATAGTGAGTAGCACCTAGAGGAAAAGAGAATTCATAACCCTCAATGCTAATTTAACTGTTACTTTAGACAAACAACATTTTTGCTTGGCTCTTCATCTAATGGTGGTTAATATGTCATATGAAAAGACAAATGAAAAAATTGCTTTATTTCATGTGCCAGGGTTTCATCTCTTGAGAGTCAGTAGCTTTTACTGCTTGTTTTGTTTCAACAGGAAATCAGAACTGAAATTCACCTTTTGACCACTGTTATTTTATTGTTTGCTTGTTCCAAGATGTGTTCCTTTAACAGATAAAATCCAGATACAATCACACAGGAACACAGTTCTTCGAGATTAGGAAAACCAGACCTCTGAGTGGGTAAGTCTCTCTGGAAGTGGCCTGCTGCTCTTGTCCCACATCATGCCAGCTGATCACTCTGGGCACATAAACACTAGCACCATGGCATTGCAGGGCTGTCTCCTCTGTGGCAGGGCCAAAACTGTGTGTGCTGCTGCCTTTGCAAGGAGGCTCCCAGCTTGTGACAGGAGGCAGATAGACCCAGTGAGTCCCGGGGAGTGGAAGGGCTGCTCTTGCTCAGCAGCTGCATGGGAGCTGAGCAAGATAAAGCTAAGTGCACAGGGCTGGGAAAATGCTCAGTTCATGATTGTTGGTATTGGGTTGGAATTGCTGGGCTGTTTTTATGGAAAAATGGAAGTGCTGATGTTCTGGTGGTGCTGTAATGCCCTTTGCTGATGGTAGGAAGAGATCAGCCATGCAAAATACTGCCAGAATGTTGTCTTCTCAGGCACAGTCCTTTCTTTGATGGAGGATCACAACAGACTGTTTAAGTTGTGGCCATGCTTCTCCCATTGCTGCTCATCGTGCTGGTCCTTCCACGTGGTGGGCTTGTGCTGGTTGGCAATGAGCTGTGCAGTAGCAGTGTGAACATGTGCAGGGAGCCAGGCAGTGGGGACCTGGGATCCCTTGTGTGTAAGAACTCCATCACACGTAGGTCAGCTCTTTAACAGGACCCAGTAAATGAGCTGGTTAGGGTGGGAAGTGATGTTGACAATATTATGGTTTTATTTTAGGGTGAAATTCAGATAAGCAGAGTATAATTACTCCTGTAGACTGGCCTGTTTCTAGCTGTCCCCAGCTGTCATGTATCTAATGGTCCCTCACTGTTAATTCCAGTTGCCATCCCAGCTCTGCATGTCAGGTTTTCACCTTGCTGACAGCAATCTTTCCTGCTTCCTTTCTCTAGTTGATGTTCACAGTACTGTTGGAACTAGTTTAGAAGAAATCTTGTGTCTTCAATGATGGATGGGTTGACAGAAGCTGAAACTGATTTTCAAACTGGTCCCTCGTTTTAAAATCTGTCCCATTAGCTCTTTTGTAAGGAAGTGAAGGATGAAAACGAGTTGTGCTCAGCACTCACCAGTTGAAAGGTTAGTGTCTTCCTGGGCTGGATGCAAGGACAGTGCTCCTTCCTGGAGGGGAACTGATGTAATAATGCTCACAGCTGGAGATGTACCCATGGCTTTGCATCCTTTCCTAATTGGTGCTATTTCCTCTATTTACCTACCTAGTGTTTACTCAGGGATCTGTGTCTGACTTCTCTCCTTGTCATGTTGCTGACTTGGAATGTGGTGGCAAGACTTGTGAAGAGTTAAGGAGAGAGAGTGCCCCTGGAAGTGGTCCAGCCCTGTGGGGCAGCTGCTGTATGCTGGTTTTGCAGTGTTAAGTCCTTGACCTGATGGACAGAGCAGTGGAGCTGTTAGGAGCACACTGAGCTGCCCAGATCAGATCCTGTCATATCACAGTGGGGTTTGAGCGCTTGCCCTGTCTTGTTCTCCCCAGCTTTGAGAAGGGAAATCCTGTGTTGATTGCTCTGAAATGTTGAGGTGTCCCTGAAGGCTTTGGTTTCCTCCATTTGGGGTGTGTGGCTGTTCACACCAGCTGAGGGTATCTTCTCTTGCCATTGTCCATGGCAATTTCTCCTGCTATCAGGCCAGTTCTCATCAGAGCTGAAAAACTGCCCACACCTGCAATTTTTTTCCTGGGAGGTGTGTTCCACTTAGCAAGAAATCTGTTTCCAGCATGGGGACAACAGGCCTCTTGTGCTGGGGTGACAAATGCTGTCCTGAGCAAGTTTCTGCAGTGTGGAAGGCCTCACTTGCTGCAAGATGAAGTTTGTATTTCCAGGCTGATTGGGCGAGATGCTGAGTGCCTCCAGTTGCCACTGGCTCTTGAGAGTTGAGGCTGTTCCCAGAGCTGTGATTTATTGATATTAAACATAATGCCTATTTCATAATGCGAGGGCTCAAAGCTAATGAAATATTACAAGATCTTTGGCAGCCTCTCTGTAAGAGAGCAGTGACTGGACGCACAGAAGCTGAGCACTAGATGGAAGTTGAATATTCATAAATCCATGTGAAAGTGTCCTAAAGGAGCTGGGGCATGGTAATGAGTTTTTCTGTGACAGAGGAAGGACTAGATATTACAGAGATGCACTGTCAGCATTGGTGTGATGCATGAGAAAATAAAAATGCATGGCTGCATGTAGGAAGTAAGAGCATAAATTATCTGTAGGATCTGATAACATTAAGAAGTACAGGCTTGCTGCAATTCCTTATTTACAATCTCTTAAGAAAAAAATCACTGTTAGCTATCAGCTTCTGGACTGCGGGGCACCCCGTGGACTTGTCTAGACGACAGATAACACTTTTGAAAACGTTAAATTTCTTGGTGTAGCTGAGTGAGTCGAGGTAGTAGAGATGTGATCCTGCAAACTGTGTGGTGTTCCTGTTGTACCAGCAAACTGCACCTGGAAATGTCTCTGTCAAACCTTGCCCGAGTCTGCTGTACTTGCACAAAATCCAGTTGTATGGTGTAGCTGTACCTGCTGTACAAGTACTTTGCTAACAGAATGTAGAGAGATCCTGACCCTGGGTGCTGTCCTTCCTAAAGGCTTCATGATGTGCCCTTTCGTACGAGGTAGGTGAAGGCCACCCTGTGGAGTTCAGCTCTGCTGCTGCATGGTGTGTGTGTAGGTATGTGGTATGAGTGTTTTGGATGCTGATCTTTTTCCCATACAGGATTATGCTTGGCTGTCCTTCCTAAAGGCTTCATGATGTGCCCTTTCGTACGAGGTAGGTGAAGGCCACCCTGTGGAGTTCAGCTCTGCTGCTGCATGGTGTGTGTGTAGGTATGTGGTATGAGTGTTTTGGGTGCTGATATGAGTAATTTTCTTTTTCCCATACAGGGTTATGCTTGCAAAACTTACATTACAGCTTTCGTTGGTACAACTGGTCTAATAAAAACCAGTGCCTTTGACTGAAATAGCCATTCTTTAAAACTTCCAAGCTTAGATGTAAGAGCTTTAGAAGAAAATTGCATTTCTGGATATCTAGTAGTATCTGTAACTATGAATTCACTGCCAACAGACTTATTATTGGCTTTATAAGGAGCAATAAGCCCTGTAACCCTCTGCAAGCTTCTGTTCTAGGATGCAGGTCTGAGCCACAATGAGGAACAAATACTTGTCCTCCGCAGACTTATCTTTGAGAAATGACAACTTGGAAGTTGCTGTGTGAAGCTGGAGAGACACTGGGTGGCTGCAGATACAATGGGCAGTCAATGGCAATAGGAGTGCCCCCGGGGCTACTTCTGTCACCCTCGGTGCCCCAGGTACGGGTGAGGTGTAGGGGCAGGGCTGCCCCGGGCAGGCCCGGCGTGGGGAAGGTGAGGTG